TTTGGCCCACATTCCATAGAGACAAAGGATAGAGTAATCTTGGCTCGGTTAGGTTTCCCGTATGCTCTAAAATTAAAAAAAACTGAGGAGGGATGGGGATGAGTGGAGTTACATGCATCACAGCCAAAGGTTTTGTGTCTCTGCTGACAGAGTGTAATGAATCTGAAGTGATGCAAAAGTGATGTAGGAGTGTAATTAAACCTGGAATATTCCCTCCTCTGAGGGCCTGAGAGAATCCCATTCAGGAGAATCCAGGAACTGGAAAGGGTAGATGTAATGCAGGAACTCTTCATTAACTGTCACGCTGATCCTGGAGGAGAACGGAGAGGCGCTTAGAGTCAGTTCTGTTGACATCTACTGCTCATTTATAACTTTCAAATACAGCTAAAACCCTGAACTTTATTAAAACTCTCACCTGTGACTCATGTCTGTAAAAGCTTTTGCTAATATCACGGTTTAAAAAGGCAGAGAACTGATAAGGAGAACCTTGTCTTTATAAATAATACAATCTTTTTGTGCTACTATAACTTTTCAGCAGCCCCATCTGGGACACATTTACGTATATAGCCCCACGTAGAGTGACATTAGTAAACTTTAGGTCTGCTTTTACAGTGAGAGTGAGCTGATTAACGCCTAATTTAAGCCAGGAATACACGGTACGATCTGTTTTCAATCTTTGCATGCAGCTACAACTCACATTGTATAACGAAACAGTGTGGTTTCGTCATACAATGTGAGTTTAGAACTAATGATGAACGGCCGACTGAATTTTAAACATGTTTGATTTTCTCCCGACCTGAGCTGAAAGTCGGCCCAATCGAACAATTCTTGCACGACTGCAGAATCGGTCCGAAAAGGGCAAAAAATTGTAAAGTGTATGCCTGGCTTCACACAGTCCACTACAAACCTCTCGCCCCCATTGATTTACATCATGTTCACTTCGCAGTGCGAAGATTGTGCATCGATCACCTGTGAGTAACACGGAAGTCAGACCACAACAACTCCTCCAGTGGATTCTAAAAATGGTAAAACTCTGCTTTTCATTGTTCAGCAGTCGTATATTTTCAGGAGTACATTAAGAACAGATGCTAAATTTGTTACTTAAATCTATACCACCCAACTGGTGAGTGTAAATTGTAGTAGCATAATTTTAGCATGTCATCCCATTACGCACAGCCAGCGACGTTAAAAATCACACAATAAGCCAGGATATCAGTAGGTGTTTACTTAAGTCTCAATGATTCCTACAGGCAGATTTACCACAATAGTTGATTCAAACCCTGAAATGATGGCTTTTAGTTTCAGTGTGCCACCCCAAGATTGTTTAGTGGATTTGCCCACTGGCCCCGTCTGCCCCGCTATGAAACATTTCTGGAGGCGCCACTGCTCACAGCCAAGGTGGGGGAGCTACTGAGCACATTATGTTTTTATTGTCATTCCACTGTCACAAGTACAGAGAAATGAACCCTCTGCATTTAACCCATCCCCTTAGGGAGCAGTAGGCTGCATTATGCAGCGCCCGGGGTTAAGGGTCTTACTCAGGGACCCAGAGTGGCAGTCTGTGCGAGTGGGGCTAGAACTCAGAACCTCAGGATTCCACTGCCCTAATCACCACTCCCAAATCGTTCAAATCAATGTGTGCAGCCACATCCGGCGCGGCACAGGTGCAGTTAATGAAATCATGCAGATCAGTGAGGTGATTCCAAAAGGAAGAAGATGGCCAGACAGCATAGTTGTCTTTGCATCAAGCTCCTGGATTGCACATACTAAACAAAAAAAGCTGGTCGCCAGATAGGAAAAAAAAATAATTTTAGGATAAAAATTCATCCATTAAGCTATTCTAACAAATGGGGTCAGTGGATGGATATTAGCCTGCACTGAAATCCTTTATTTTTGTTGTATTTCTAAAGATTGCATGTACACCATGTAAATGCATTGTACCTTTTACGAAAAAAAAAAGTACACATACAAAGGGGCTATTTATGGAAGAGGATTAGGGCCAATTGGGGAAAAAAAAGGTAACTGATTTTTAAAATTTATTTCAGTTAATATGGGAAAAAAGTCAGAATTCTGACTTTTTTCTCAGAATTAATAATAAATAATAATTTATTTAATTTATACTGCACTTTTCACCAAAAAGGCCTCAAAGTGCTACAAAAAAAAAGCATTTAAAAAAGCATTAAATAATAAAAGCTGTTTTAAAAGAGAAAAAAGAAACATCTAAGGGGGACCAAGAGTTTTGTTTTAAGGCCTTTTTTAAAGCACTCAGTGGACTGAGGAGCCCTCAAGGTGTCAGGGAGGGAATTCCACAAACGTGGGGCAGCAGCACAAAATGCTCCATCTCCCATTATCCTGAGTCTGGTTCTGGGAATGTGGAGCAGGTTTGAGTGAGTGGAGCGAAGGGAGCGGGACGTCTTCTGTGGCTTGATAAGTTCTTTGAGGAAGGGGGGGGCATGTCCATGGATGCATTGATGTGTGAGCAGGGAGACCTTTTCTCAGAATTCTGACAGCTAACAAACATGTTAGCATCAAGCCATAGCCATGTCTGTTTTAGAGACTAGCTCTGCTCCTCTATTAATGAGGGGACCCCTCGGGCACGTAAAAGGTTGCCTAATTCCATCATTTTCCACCAATGTGTCACTGGCCCTCTGAAAAAACTCACATTGTTGTCAGTGAAGCTGAGGGCTCCACATCTCTTCCTTCATGGTGCCCATCTACATTAAAATCCAAGATTCTGAGATTAAAGTCAGAATTCTGAGAAAAAAAGTCAGAAAAAAAGTCAGAATTCTAAGAAAAAAGTCAGAATTCTGACTTTTTCCCCATACTATACTGAAATAAAATAAAAAAATCTGTTAACTTTTTTTTTTCAGTGGCCCTAATCCTCTTCTGAAGCTATTGGACAAGGAAATAGGATATTTATGTGCACCGATATTACATTTTGCCTAACAACCCCTGAAACCCAGATGAACTTTGTTTCTCTCCAGCTGTTTCTAAAGGTGGAACATCTTGGCTACAGCGTTCAGTCTGAGTGGCTTTTTCCAGCACTGATCTCTATTTATTCACTGGATGCTGATTGGTCATTGGTAGTACATGCTGCCAGGGAGATTAGGAGGATTCTAAGGGTCCTTGATTGAGGTGGGCCTAATAGAAGAGGAAAAGATATTTCCCAATAGATATTTCAAATGTAAAATGAAAATCCAGCAGTAAAATAAATAATTTTTGTGTTCTCCCTCATTTTTTAGCAGTAAGTGAAACAAACGTTGAACGTTTTTTTTTATCAACTAGTTTATGCAATTGAAAGTTAATGTATATTTGACTTTTTTTTTGTTCTGATAATTTTCCTTTGTAGAAATTTTACAATAAAAAACACATTGTAAATGTAAAAAATACTCTTTATTGCAACTTGATAGCAGTTTTAAAGCTTGCATATAGTTTTTTTTTTAGGGGTGGGGGGCTGATATTGTCTTTCATGGGACCCCAAATTCCTTGCGGTGCCCCTGCACGGTGCTGTGAAGACGCCATATTGGTACTCCCTAGTTAGACCGGTCGGAATGTCAACAATAAGTGCTCTACGGCATTGAACAATGAAAGATGTTGTCATTCTCAGGGGGTTTCAGACTTTCAAAACAAAGATAAAATCATCACTTCGACACACTTGCTGTTTCACAGCATCAGTAAATTACTATCATTTATCACACATCACATTGCATAGTCAGTTTGAAGTCTATATAAATCATGTAATA